CTATTCTCTCTCTCTCTCTCTCTCTCTCTCTCTCTCTCTCTCTCTCTCTCTCTCTCTCTCTCTCTCTCTCTCTCTCTCTCTCCTATTTGTTATAATCTCATCCAGCCTGAGTTTTCCCTTATAGACAGTGACCAAACAACCGACCTCGAAAATTATCAAAATTTTGTCCAAGAAAGAATGAAAAAACATGACAATGTCCCCACCGAGGCCAAGAACAGATCTCTCTTTTGTTCATTAACCCCTTCACGGCCAGAACGCTGTGATATCCCACCAAAAAAACAAACAAACATACCGTCCTGGGCAAGCCAGTGACAGGGTTAAGTGGTCAGATACGGGTGATGTATGAGTCGAATCGAGTACGTGTGCGAACATCCAGTTTAAAAAAAAAAGGAAGAACCCACCCCACCCCCCCATCCCCACGTAATTTCTACAGACTTCAACATTGTACGTTAAGGACCACTTGAAAATTTGGCTAAAATTCTCCGAGGATTTCCGAGCTACATGAGGTGGTTTTTCCACTTTAGAAAACTTTGCAGTCTGCATTTGTGTGGCAGCGTGGTGGAATCAGGCTCTCGTCAATTTTTGGGCATGTAGAGTTCTTGGTATCATCTTAAAGCTTGTTCACTTGCCTTTATTTGGATGCAAAAAATATCCATTTATCTTGAATATAAGTCGCGATAGGAAGGAGGTGGGGGTCACCTGTTTTCAGAGGTAAAATTAGTGAGAAAATGGCCGCCAAAGATTAGTTATTTCCCTAGCTTAAGAGTCCGTGGTAACTGAAGATTTACTTTTTTATGATTTAATTAACACTTTTCAGAAAAATCCACACAGAAATGAGTTCTTTAATGGGCATGGAAGGTGTTGAGTCAAAAAACAAAAAATTGATAAAAATTCACAAACCCGTGGACAAATGCCAGTTTCTTCACTTTGATTATTTTGACGAGAGCCTGATTCCACCACGCTGCCTCACATTTGTAACCCATTAACATTTTCAGAGCAAAATAATTTGAAATATTCCTTGCTGTGGAAAGTTACGACTAGCGACCGACGAACGACACAATAGTTGTACTGAGGACAGTTACGACTAACGCGTAACACAATAGTTATCATGAAGACAGTTACGAGTAACGACCGACACAATAGTTGTACTGTGGACAGTTACGAGTAACGACCGACACAATAGTTGTACTAACAACAGTTACCAAAAACAAACGCTATAATTAATACCGTGGGCAATTACGAACGAGTACTGATCTTCACAAAAGTTGTACTGTCGACAATTACCAGTTACAAACACAAAAGTTGTACTGTCAACAGTTGCGAGTACCGATCGTCACAAAAGTTATACTGTCTACAGTAACAAGTAACAAACACAAAGTTATACTATACTATCTTTGGTTCTACTGTCGACAGTTGCGAGCACCGATCGTCACAAAAGTTTTACCGCAGACAGAATCTACCAGTTACAAACACAAAAGTTATACTGTACTAGATCTATCTTTGGTACTGTAAACCCTCTCTGATTATACGTGACGTGTACTGTCGACAGTTGCGAACGCCGCGCGCCACGCGAAGTTGTGCGTCCACTGAAGGAGGCGGGAGTGAGTCAGGTGAGAGCAGAGAGCGGAGAGTCGTACACTGAGCCAGGCTTGGAGGAGTAACTGTGCCAGGAGTCGACAACACGCGACGGACGGACGGACGGACGCAACGACTCTTTTATACCAGACGGGGTGTCCGTCGCGTCATGTCCACACTCGCTGACTTGTTCGTCTTCTTCTGAGTCTGCCCCCCCC